ACATAACCTACACCATGTCCACTTTAGTTGCATTGGGAGGCATTTTTTAATAGACAAAGTCTATTTCCTATGTGACATATGTTATTTTATTAAGAGGCCCAATGCATTGTGAGTACTCTGATATGCGTTCGACTGCAAATTGAGCTTGATTAATTACCATCAAAATTTTATTTGAGGTGTTATTTACTTTTAAAACCTACTAGTGCGTAACCGGTCGATACACGGGTCACAAATTAAAGATAAGGTAAATAATATTATCTAATAATTATATTAAATATATGGGTGAAAAATATTAAATAATAACTATAAATTAAAGACATAAAGTTAACATGTGATATAATCAGTTCATTATAAATATATATTAAAATAAAGAAAAGATAGTGAAAAAGATGAAAATAATAATTTTAAAATAACGTAAGTGACAAATTATATTTACATGGCATCTGGCATCTGACTTTTCACCTCATAAATTTTTTGCTAGCAATCCATTAAATAAAACTTCATAAATTTGATCTCATAAATTTTACCTCATAAATTCTATCTACATGGCATCTGACTTTTCAAAAACAAAAACCGTTATATTTATATTAATTGAGTAATAATTATATTTTTTTATTGTATCATAAAATAGTTATTATTATAATTAATAATTATATTTTGCACTAAATGATATATGAAAGTTACATAAACATAAAAATTTATATTCTAAAACTTTTTTTTCAAGTTATTTATTCTAATATCAATATTACAATTTTTTTTTTATTAAACGATTAATTTGTAAATAATTTAATTTTTTTAATGTTATAGTAAAATTCCTTAAAATCGCATAAACAATTGTTATAATAAATTTAATATTTTCATCAAATTAATTGGTCATGATCTCTCAAAATTACAAATATTACATTATTTATTAAATTTATGTAATCAAATAGTTAGGTACTATTTGTTTTAACCAATGATCAATTTTAAAACATAATACCAATATCTAATTTATAATTTTCATATTATATGCATAAATATAACTTATAATATTCTATGTTTAAAATTTAATATTATCTAACTTATAATTTTAATATTATATATATAATATAACTTATAATACTTTATTTATATATGTATAAATGCACAAAGTCAAATACTAATATAAAATAAACTAGTACGTAGCCCGTGCGATGCACGGGACATAAGTATTAAATGAGTCATTTCCACATAGCTTGTCCGTTAAGTAGCTCGTGCGATTTACGGGAGATATTAAATGAGTGGACCATAGGGCTTGTTCGTTCAGGCCTAAAAAATAATAGAGTTTGATCATCTTTTCATCAACGTCATTTTTTTTTGTCAGAACATTAAACCTGAGTCTGGTAGCGCAAGCCCGTAAATTAATTAATATATTATCTCGCTCACATGTTTATAATAATATAAATTTGATTTCATTATATATATATATATATTTATTCCTTGATATAAGAAAAATAACAATTTTACGTAATCTTGTTCATCGTATAATACTCATATTATTTTGTTATAAAATTTATTGTAATATAATTTCATTATTATTATTTATGTAAGTTATAGATGTAGTCTTCTTCTTCTTTTTGTTTTATATAATTAAAATATTTAATGTATGTTCATATTATTTATTAACGTAATTAATTTAAATTATGTAAATAAATTTAAAGTAAAACATTTTGTACAAATATTTTACAAAATATACACAAATGTTTTTTTAGATTTTAATTTTTTTTATAATAAATAAACATCTTTGAAATTCTATGCAATTATTAAACATCCTTGATATAAATTCGAAATCATAATTGAATTCTATGCAATTATTAATTCTGTCCGATGTTATGAGAAACAAATCATTCGGAAATGATTATATGTAAGTTGAGATAAAATGAAATGTATCAAAAAAATCTGCTTATGATATTTTCCTTTAAATGTTTAAATGAATTTGAAATTCAAATTACAAATCAACCTCCAGTTATTCAAATTATTTTAAAAAAATTACCAATTGTAGTAAAATGTACGTGACAATATATTATAAATATACATGACGTCAACAATGTTATGAATCTTTCAGTTCCTAAAATATATATTGGTTAGATATGAAACTAATTAACTTATATGTTAAGAAAATATATATAAATATATGTATTGTACGAAATATACACGTGATAAGTTATTATATTTGTTTATATATTGTTTGTATTGTTTATTATATTTGTTTATTATATTTGTATATAAATATATTGTTTATATATTTGTCAGTATTGTACGACAAATTATTATATTTGTTTATATATTGTTTAAATATATATTGTTTAGATATGAAACTAATTAACCTATATGTTTGTATGAAATCTTTAACGTGTTTGTTAAATTTTTCCCCTAAAAAATTCAAAATACATTTAAGCATGTTTTGCTTGAAGTTTGAAATTTAAATATGCATCTATATAACAAATCCCATGATTTATGCTAGCATTAAATGCTACTTGATTTTTTATTAAAAAAACATACCAAAAATAGAATGCAATTTATATATTCCCTATTTTTTTGCTTACTATTTTGAAAAATGTTAATTCTTATTATATATACTAGTGCATAGCCCGTGCGATGCACGGGACACATTTATTAATTGAGTCATCTATATGGCTTGTACGATTTTGGCAAAAAATAATAGGGTTGGATCATTAATTTTTCATTTCTTTCAATCAGTGATATTTATTTTAGTCATAACGTTAAAATGTTATTAATATATCATTCTGCTAACACGTTATATTGATATAAATTTGATTCTGCAACATATATTTATCCATCGATATAAGAAAAAAAATAAAATTTATGTTTATTCTTGTTCACCATTTATTTAATAGTCAATTATTATTTTATTATAATATTTGTTGTCATATAATGTCATTATTATTATTTATAAAGGTTATAGAAGTAGTCTTCTTCTTCTTCTTAGTTTATATAATGAGTTTAAATAAAAAAATTTCTATAAATGTTTACAAAATACCCACACATGTTTTTTAGAATTTAATTTTCTCATAATAATTAAAAAAAAATTGATTTAGCAAATTGTCAAATAATAAACCTTACATAATCAAGAGATTTTTTCTAATTTGCATCCTAAGGCTTTATTAGTTTATTTAACATACTATGCAATATAAATATAAATTTTACAATAAATTCATTATGGAAACAAATAAAAATAAATAAAAAATGATAAAATTATCATGGTTGGCAATAATATACAAATAAATCAAATGTTGAAAATGTAAAGAATAGTTAATATATTTTAATTTTATTATTTAGCCATTAATAAATTATTTAATGATGTGATCATTATCTCTTAAATGGTAAATTATTTTAATTTAAAAATTTTTTTGTTTATATAATTAAATAAAGGTTAAAAAATATTATCGAAAAATATTAATTCATTAACTTGATTTCGGCTAATTAGTTAGAGGGAGAATTATTTAAAATGTTACCATTGTTTATAAATATTTTAGGATGAAAGTCAACATTTGTGAAAAAAAAAATAATAATATGGTTAAGACTTAAAAGTTGTTTTCATGTTTATGTTGACCAAAATATTATCAACATCAATCACGAAAAATCAAATTATAGTTTATTATAATGGATATCAATAAAATTATTGAATATGTTAATAAAATTATTCAAGGAAAGAATCTTTTTGGTCATATTATATTTGGAAATGTGTATATTAAAGCAATTAATGCATATATTTAAAAAATTTCCAAATAAAGTATGCATTAAATGCTCATTGACTTTTTTGCTGCTATTTTTGATAAATGTTAATTCTTTTTATATATATATATATATAGATATAGATATGCAAATTTTACTGTTATTGGAGGTTTGTGATATAGGAGTAAGATTAAGGTTATGAGTGAATGGTCCATTCAAAAATGAAAATAAAAATTTAAGAAGGTTTGTTGTTATGTTCAAAGTTGAAACAACAAAATGACCCACCATTTTCCTCTCACTTACATATATCAATCCACACAGCTTACCTCTTCAAGTTCAATGGCGCCCATTTCCAACTCAAATTCCAACACAAAAAGACCTTCATCGCAATTTCTCAACATGGCAGTCCCCATTTTGGACGACGATGATGATTTTCAAGATTGCCCTTCTCCCTTGTTCTCCACCGCCTCCAGAAAGACCAGCTCACAACCCTCGCGCCTGAAGCCACTTGCTTCAACCACCCAGCGTCCTTCCGAGAAGCCGAGAAAACGAAAATTCGTCAATCTTGGAAAGGAAAATCACCCATTCGGCGTGGCGGAGGCGGATTTGGTTGGTGGATTGGACTCAATCGAACCAACCCTCGATTTGCTGAACCCCAATGGGAATAGTGATTATTTACTATGTAAAAGCTCAGTGGAGCCGGCACTGTTGAGGCCATGCGGGGATGATGGGGAACGAAATTGCAATGAGGAGTTTTCGGAGGAAAACTCTGAACTCGATGTGCTGCTCAATCTATGTGCTGACGTGGACGAGCAGAACGATGGTGATGGTACCGATTTGGAAGAGAAATGTGTGGGTTTAATATGTTGTCCTGTTTGTGGAGCTGATATTTCGGAGTTGAGTGATGATATGAAGCAGGTTCACACTAACGAGTGCCTCGATTTGGTGAAGGATCCATCTGAAGTAAGAACTTTCTCTTGTCTTCTTAATTTAGTGCGACTCTGCTTCCAATTGCTTGCTATAATTTTGCATTTTGGTGTACGTATTCAAAGTTTGATCTGACAGAGGTGATCGGGTAGATTATATTTCATTCTAAGTGATCCTAGTTGGTGGCTATGTCTAAATTTTGAGCATTACATTTGACCTTATTACAAGGTTCTTTTGCAGAATAAAGACTATCAGTTTTGGCTGTTGTTTCTCGAGAATATGATGAAGAAAAAAAGTTGCCTGTAGTTTAGGTCGATTAATGGAACACTACATGTTCAACTAGATACAAGAATGAACTGAATTGCATGATGCTGTCATTTGGCGTGAGACCATCTTCTTTGTTGAAATTTTTGAGTTATCAATAAGACTTTGATTATTTTATTTTTGAAATCACAGTTCGGGTTTAGCTAAAATTCCATTAGATGCCTAACGTAAATTTGTAGCTCAAGATCATAATGTAACTTCAGGTGGCTGCCGCCACTGATGATAGGGGAGAAAATCAATGTCCTGGGCAGGTCGTTGATGGCTCTCCTAATAAACTTGCAACAAAGTCTGTTGATGTATCCCGAGTTGTAGAATGGCTGCGTGATTTGGGCCTTGGAAAGTATGAAGATTTTTTCATAAAGCAAGAGATTGATTGGGATGCATTGCAGTGGTTGACAGAAGAGGTGAGTTTTGTTTTATGACTAACTGTGAAACAGTGAAAGAATACCTTTTGTGGATTCTTTTCTGCATCATATGATCATATTATGAATGAATAATGCCAATTGTTTTCTGGCAGGATCTATGTAATATTGGTATTACAGCACTAGGCCCTAGAAAAAAAATTCTTAATTCTCTTCGAAAGACAAGAAACGATTTGAGCGGGGCAACTGAACCTAAGACAGCTGCCTCAAGAGTTTTGGCTGACGAGACTAAACTAGCAACAAACAAGTTGATCACTGATTACTTTTCAAGTCCTCCCTCAAACCAAAAAAGTGGTGTTGTTACCAAGAATTGCCAAAATAATGTCAGACAAAACAGAAAAAATTCTACTGGCAGGAGCACTGAAGGAAAAGACAGTTTGAGGAATAGGAAACAGAAAGATGCCCCTAGGTGGTGTTGCATACCGGGAACTCCATTTCGAGTGGTAAACGAAACATTATTAATGCAGCAACATTCGGATAATCAATAATTTCCATCTCCTTGATAAATGTGATCTCTTGGTAGCACATGCGACACTGAACAAATCCTGCTCATTTTTTCTTTCTTTTTTCCCTTCTTTTGATATCTCATTTGAAGAATATTTTGCCTTTGTCTGCTACATGCCATAGTCATTGTATATAGCAATAATAAGCATCCAGAAATATGTTTCTGTACATTTCAAAGAATTCTCAGATGCCTGTTATCATTTCTGTTCTAGAAAGTTTTGACTTCAAATATGCTCATGTGATATTACTTGTTTGGCTCATTTGTCCCAATATAAACTACTAGGATTTATGATGCTGAGTCCAGGACCTTAAATTTTGCTTTTCTGTTTTGTACTCAATTCCCAATAATTTCAGAGTTTTAACTAATAATCCTTTTTATTTTTCGAAATTCCTTGATTTATGTTTCCAAATGTAGTACTTGGCTACTTGCTATTTGGATCAAGTGACTAATTTTAATAGTTTTCATATCTCATTTGCAGGATTCATTTAAACACCTAAGAAGAGAGTGTTCTCATTGGTTTCTCAGCCACTTCCATTTTGATCGTAAGTCTGACTAAATACTTCTGGAGCAATGTATATAGAGATGGCATTGTTTGATTGATTGCACCTGATACCATATTATTAATTTGCTAGAGCTACACTTTTGGAAGATGCCACTATTGTGTTAAGTTCTTCCGAAGGAGGTTTCATATTTAAAGTTTTTTAGAAGTTAATGATCAGAACATGTCACTTTACCTTTTTACTACTTCTAAGAAAAACAGAAGTTGAGATACTTGGTTTCTTGGGAAGATTTTGATTCGAGCAATGTGATTTTGATAGATAATTATGCGACTAGCATAGGCTACAGTGAGACAGACTTAGTTTCTGGGTTTTGATGGAAGAAAGGTTTTGCAGGTTGCGTTTTGATGGGCTGGATGCTATAGATTCCAAAAACAACATGAGCTTTAAAATGTATCTTGTGAAATTGCTGTCTGAGTCATTGCTTGCTTTATTCTGTCCATATAGATATAAGATGAAAAAACTAATGGTATCATCAGATGAATGTCTGAAACAAAAGAATTCAAAATGATGATGAAAAGAACTCTGGGTTTGCATTGTCAACATACCAGGATCAGCACCTTTATTTCTTTTGCAAAACATTTGGAACAAATGAATAGGAGTTATTAACCATTCATATTGCATTGCTCCTGCAGACTATCAAGGGCTTACAAAGTCCTTTTGTCATGGGATGATATATTGTTCCTTAATAACAGCGAAGCTAGTCAATCTGAAGATTGGAATCCCCTGGGATAAAATTCAAGTTTTGCCTCTGAACCAAAAGATTAGTATTGCAGGAACTGATGTGACATGCTTTGATGCAAATCATTGCCCTGGTGCAATCATACTCTTATTTGAACCACCCAATGGTAAGGTGTGTATCAAACTTCGTAACACTTCTGCTTTTTTCTTTATTTAGTTGGTGGTGCTTTTTCTAAGAGACTATGACTTCCCTGGTCATGTACTCAGCCTGTGTTACACACTGGAGATTTCAGATTTTGTGAGGAAATGAAAGAACTGTCTATTTTGCAAACATGTTCAATCTACACCCTCATCCTTGACACAACCTACTGTAGTCCCCAGGTAATCCATCTATCATCTATCATCTATCTATATCTATCTATATTTATATCTTTATCTATCTATATCTATCTATCTATACCTATACCGATACCTATATCTACATCTATATCTATATCTATATCTATATTAATATATATACATATATATGTGTATATATATATAATATTATAAAAGGATGAATGATTTTGTTAAAAATTGAATGGACTAAAAAGTCCTTGTGTTTAGTATTTTTTAATAGCAAAGTTGTAATCACACTTAAACATTCCTATATAAAAGGATTTTAATTTAAACTAATAGAAATAAAAAAAGTGCTATTTGTACAAAGTCTCTTTACGAGAGGATTTTAATTTAATAATTAATAGAAACACCAAAACCCTCTATTTGTATAAAACTATAAGTACATGTGTGAAACTGGAGTCTTGAGAATTTAAATAGTATCAAAGATTAAAACAGAATAGAAAAGAGGATAATTTTGAAAAACACATCTATTCAAAATTAACATGTATCATTTTAATTTATGGTCATTGATTTTTCGTTATTTGAATTCCCTTGTTATTATGTATACTTATAGAAAAGATGTTTCAAGTATAATTTATTTCAACTTATAAGCATACATAATAACAAATGAAATTCAAATAACTAAAATTTAATGGGCAAAATCGTACATTAGAATTATAAAATATGTTGAGGTTGAATAGAGATCTTTTTCCTTAAATAGCAAATATCTCATATGATGCATGAAGCTATCATCATGAATCGTTTAAATTAGATTGACATAGTTATACCTATGTAATATAAAATATATATTTTTTTTCATATAAAAATAACAATAAAGGCATAAACATATATTTTCTTTTTTAATTTTGTTTATGTTTAGTGATATATATCATATAATGTTTGATTAATTTGTATATAATTATTTTAGATTATCAAAATTTCATGATATTTATTAACGGATTTTGATAAATTAACAATTAGTTTCATGTACTCTTTTTTTTATCATGACTTTTAAATGTTATTTGGAATTATGTTTCAACTTTGAACACATTTATTACAATTCATTATGGAAAGTACATTTTTTATTAATTAAAAATATTAATGAAAAAAATGAATAAAGTATATAAATATGAAAAAATCATAATTTAAAAGAAAAAAATACAAATCATGCATAGCGTGCATCTCACGTGCACTTTACTAGTAGATACTAAAAAGCCAATAAAAAAAATTCACAAGACATATATCTTCCGACCAGAGTCTTCTTGGGAAGCATATTGCTTAGTTCTCACTTACAAATCATTTTATGGTTAAAATAAAGAGCTGATATAAACTAAGAGTTGCTAGGACGGGTTACGGTTGATCTCAAATTAAAGGCATTCATTCATTGCATGTTTGCTGCTTACTACTTTTATTTCTATAATGTGTTATTCTGGTGGCCCAAAAGGTTGTTGACAAGCAGTTGTAATTATTGGTTTCTTTTCTCCCACTTCACCAGGTTGAAACAATCAGTGCTTATTGGTTTCCTTAATCAGTGCAGGATTTAGTAGAACACTTGTACTTTCTTGTTTCATGTTATAAGTTATACCCGTCAAGAAACGAAATAAACATGGAAAGTAGTTATTGTTCTGTATCGCTAACTTTGCATCATGAAATATGGTGGTTTTAGCAACCTCAGTAGCTTCTTCTACACAACTAGTAACAGTATTAATTTAATCTTCTCCATTAATTTGCTTATGCTGGTTAATAAATAATGGTTTCTTTTCCAATCTTGCAGTATGACTTCCCAAAACAGGAAGCTATAATCCAATTTGTTATCGAAGCCATTCAAGCTGAAGCTTTCAACCCAAAAACTTTATTTTTGATTGGCAGCTATACCATTGGTAGTGTCCACTCTCCAAGCTCACTTCTAATAAAACCCAGCTCATGCTGACACATACTCTCCATTTAGTCATGTTTGAGTGTCCTTTATTAGCAATTTTAATCACTCTTCAAAATATATTAATTATTTATGCTTAAATCTTGAATGGGGACAGGTAAAGAAAGAGTGTTTGTAGAGGTTGCCAAAGCTCTCCGTAAGAAAATCTATGTCACTAGAGCAAAACTACGCATCTTGGAATGTCTGGGTTTGCAACAGGAAGACATGCAATGGTTCACGTTAAATGAGCAAGAGAGCCATATCCATGTTGTTCCCATGTGGGCTATTGGTAGTTTCAAAAGACTGCAACATATGTCTGACCAGTACAAGGTAAATGGATGTGCATTGCTTAATATACAATTAAATAATAACTTCTGTTGGTGCATATAATTACCTACATCAACCAATTTCTTTATGAGGCTTGAATTTCATTCTTCTATTTTTCCTTTTTGGTTGCATGCTAGCTAAATGGTATGAGATGAAAAGAAGACTTCAGCTCGTGTTAACTGATGTTTTCCGTATTTGCCTCTTACATTAGTATTTACATAAAATTTGCTGCACAGGGTCGATTTAATTTGATTGTTTCTTTCTCACCAACTGGTTGGTCATTCGTGAAAGGAAAGAAGTCTACTGGAAAAAGATGGCAGAAGGGAACAATTATACGGTACTACTCAGTTTTAACCTCATTCAACCACATAGATTTGTTTCTATCATTATGGGGAAAAAAACACCACATGAATCTGTGAAGTCCTGTTTCTGTTCTTGATTTGAAGATCTATCACATATAGTTGTTTTGAGAAACAGTATTTGGACAGCATAATAAGGAAATGTACTTTTATTTTTTGTTGCTATAAATGAAACTCGACTTGGAATAATATTTTTTACTGCATTTACAGGTATGAGGTACCGTACAGCGAGCATAGCAGCTTTACGGAGCTTAAGGAGTTTGTTAAGTTCATATCGCCAGTAAACATTATACCAAGTGTCAATAATCATGGCCCAGATTCTCATAATGCAATGGTTTCCCAACTCTTGTCTTGATGGAGATAGTCTGTTGAATTTTCTCCCTCTTCTTAACTTACCATAAGCAAACCTGTGATGTTGGCTGTATTAGTATTTGTAATTTATTCTATAACCATGAAAAATACATGGTAGTAATTTATTGAAAAAACTTTTAGATGATAATAGATAAGTAGATTCACTGAAAAAGAAAGGGGAAATACTCCAATTCCTTATTTCCTTATATGCAGTTTAATGTCTGTGCCCAACTTTGGTGTACTTTTTCCTCTGTTGTCAACTGTATAATATATTTAGCAAATAGACTAGCTTAGACGTAGACTTTTTCAATGATTATTATTTATTTTTTCAATTATGAAGATACCGTCCAATTTCTGTAACTGTACCTAACCATGGGCTTTTCGAGCTATGAAAATATATTTGTTTTTTTCTGGCTCCTCGTTCAGGAAAGAACCTTATAACACTCACGTGTTATGTAGAAAATAAACTTAGTCTATACAAAATTGTGCTCCAATGCAATTAAATGTGGACATGATCCATCTTACGTGGCACTAGAAAAAAGAGACCTGGTCCTCTCTTGTGTCTATTTTGGACCCAAGTATGGATCTGCACAATCAGCAATTATTTATATTTTTCTTTTTTTTGATAGAAAAAACATATCGTGAAAATATCAGACCTTTTTTTTTTTTTTTTGTNTTTTTTTTTTTTTTTTTGTGCAAAGACTCTTCATGTTCTCGGCTGCTTCTGGGCAGAGTACAAAGATTTACATGATTTTCTCACCCACCGTACATAATTGTTGTGTTAAAACTTGTTAATTCTCAATGTAATTGGATAACCAAAGATTTACAGTGACAAATATATTTATACTGAAGTACATAATCAAAATCCTCATGTACACCAAGAAACTCAATACGATTAAAAAACCTAAATTAATCACTAATATAATATGCTCAGAAACTAAAGTTGTTTTCCCAAGGGTTATTACAAATTGAGTGCAAATACGTGTGAAACACATGATAAAGAAGCAATACTCACTGTAGGATATTGAAGAAACTCGAATGGTTGAAGACGAAAATAGAACTTTCAATATGTTGAAGAAGAAAATAGGACCTGTAATGCTTAGGTAGGCCATGTTAGTGACACACATACAGTTGTCCGCCTAAAACCGTGGTGGGCTATTGTACGGATCTGACCTGATATTTTGTATCGATTATTTAATTAAAGAACACTGGCATTGGTAAAATTTTTGAAGGTTGACTAGATTCAACCACCCCTTATTTGTCCCATGAATCGGAACGCAAAAGTATAAATTAGAATANTTCACTTTCGTCAGTCAGTATATTGATTATGGGGCAGTCAATAAAAGTAAATGCCTGTGAGATTTCCGAATCTTTTCCGTTGGTATGAATTGTGAAATCTATCAAAAGAATAACCTTTTTACAAATTTAGAAACTTTTTCCCGCCAAAATCATTAAATATATCCTATATATAGTAATTGTTGAACAAATCTGAATAGGCAAAAAAATCGGCTCATTAATTGTGTAAAGATTTGTTTCTTTTTTTCCTGTTTTTTAGTTTATCAAAACCGTTGTTTGACAATAAATATTTGTTTTTCTTTTTCCTATTTTTAGTATAAATCTACACGAGCTTATCTCTTATGTTAGAAAATCTCATTGCATACGTCTCACGTGTTTAAAAAATCTCATCTTTTATCTATACAGATTTGAAGAAATAAAATAAAAATCAATTCATAATTACTACTAGAAATCAATAATCTTGAAAAGAAAAAAATAATAGAAACAAATTCATAATTACTACTATAAATCCATTATCTACTTTAAGAAGTTAATTTTCATCGGTCTAATTACTAATATTTTTACAAATATTATAAGCTAATCATACAAAAAAGTATAATAATAATTTTGAATGATGTGTAATCAAATTTTTTTATTCTCTTATACAAAATAATTTTACATTGTTTGACCCCGAATCTTTAATTTATAATTATTAAGTATTGTTTATCTTCTTCTTTAATTTATAATTATTTTTTTTCTTCCTCTTTTTAAATAGGATCAATAGTAATTTCCACTTCCGTCATTGAGTGACTCAAACTCGAGATCTATTTATAATATTGTTAGTTTAATATTGTTCCCGTGCATCGCACGGGGTATACACTAGTATAGCCTACAATACAAATGATATCATTCCGGTTATGTGATTGTTTGGAAGTACTTTTTAAAAAGTCTGTTTAAAAAATGGACTTATTCAAAATTACTAGTACAGAGCCCGTGCGATGCACGAGGTGCACAATTTTAAGGCTATTTATCCAGGCTTATGATTATATACATGAATAAAGAAAAATGTACGGGATATATATAGTACGTAACCCGTGCGAAGCACGAGATATATTTATTTGGAGAATATTATATTATAAGATACAATATTCAATAAAAGTTTATAATACGCAAGAAAATTGTAAAATATTCAATAAAAGTTTTATAATATTCAAGTGGAGTCTTGAAGTCTCTTGTACATTAAGACTACTGACAAAATAATATTTAATCAATGAGTTTCCTTTCCTTGTAGCCAAATTGTATATGTGATTTGAGGAGTACAACAAATCGATATATAGCTGACTTTCTTTTTACATTGTAGTTTTTTTTTCTTTTTCTTTTTTTATAATGAATTTAAAGATATTCTAAAATATAGCAAAAATTAATTTTTTTATTACAATTAGGAATTTTACTAAATATAAACTCTCAATCTATGGTGTTAATCAACGTTTAAGTATACAAAATTAGGATTTTTTACCTCTTTTAAATCAACATTTAAGTCTAAAAACAATAGAGTTATTATAAGTATTTTTTCTACGTCTTTTAAAACATTAAATATGAACATGTTAGGGCTAGCTTGTAAAATAATTAATATATTATCTCACTAAAATATTTATACTAATAAAAATTTAATTTTAGCATATAAATTTATCCCTTGAGAGAAAGTAACAGTTTTACTTATTGTTGTTCACCATATAATATTTAATTATTATTTTATTATATAATAAAAAAGAAATATTGTTAAATAGTGTAGTAGAATTGTTATAAAATTATATGATTTTTTTTTTTACAATATGGATTTAATATTTTTTTATGATTTGATAATATAAACAAATCTATACTTAACTTTGACAAATAAAACAAATAAATACTTTAGTAAGTATTTAATGTATATACTAAATAGGAATATATTTGGTATAATCAAATACCAAATATAATCAAATAAGTCAAAGTGTACATTTTTTTTTTGTATTTGATATTTTTATTATTAAAATCTTTTTGTTATACTTACCTTTTTAAAATAAAACAAATAAATAAATCAATTAAATAAATAAAATATTATAATACCAAAATTGTAATGGCATTTAATGCAGTTGACTTTTCTGGATAGTAAATGTAGTAAATAGAATCTCCTTTTATATAAGTATAGATTGTATAATACGGAAATAGTAATGCAATAAATTTTGTTGACTTTTCTTTATACTAAATCTGGTAAATGGTATACCTTTTAATATAAGTATAGATTTCTTTAAAAGTTTTCATTATTTACTTTGTAATTTAGCACAAGATATAAATATTTATCGAAAGAAAAATGCTACAAGTACATAATAAATGCTATAAGTCTAATGGGCTACTCATTCTTCCACCAATTGGTTTTGGGATGGAACCACACTTGGGCTTCATATAGTTTTTTTCCCACTTTTGGTGCGCTTCATATTAGTGGGATCGCACCCGTTTTCCCCCAGTTTCTTACATGGTATCAGAGGCGGTTCTATGTGGGACCAGGTGATGACGTACCCGTTTTTCCCCACGTACCCGTTTATGGGAGCCTGTTTCTAGTAGGACTTGGGGCTCCGGCTTGGGCTTCTTATTAGGAACTCACAAGTGAAGGGGCGTGTTAGAATATCACTTGTGAGTTGTCCCACATCGTTTATACGTGGAAAATAGACACACCTTATAAGTCTAATGAACTACTCCTCCTTCCACTAATTGGTTTTGGGATGGAACCCCACTTGGGCTTCATCTGGGCTTTCCCTATTGTGGTGACCGTATTCCCCCTGTTTCTTACATGTTAGAATATCACTTGTAAGTTGTCTCACATCATTTATACATGGAAAATAGACTCACCTTGTAAGTCTAATGGGCTACTCCTCTTTCCACCAATTCGTTTTGGGATGGAACCCCACTTGGGCTTCATCTGAGCTTTCTCGCTATGGTGCGTTTCATGTTTAGTGGGCCCGCACCTGTTTCCCCCTCAGTTTCTGTCATGGTATCAGAGTCAGTTCTATTGGTGACCGTGCGATGACGTACCCGTCACCCAGCCTAGTTGGGCTTGGGCTTTCGAATGAATCACAAATGAGGGGGCGTGTTAAAATATCACTTTTGAATTGTTCCACATCATCTAATGGGTTACTCCTCTTCCACCAATTAGTTTTGGGATGGAACTCCACTTGGGCTTCATATGAGTTTTTCCTCGTTCATGATGCGCTTCATGTTTAGTGGGCTCACACCCATTTTTCCCCAATTTCTGTCATGATGGTTGACCTTTATAATTAATTATATGTTGAATGCGCAACATTTCAATATTGAAATCTCTTTGAGAAAATAATCAATCGATATATTATATTCTAGTACATATATACAACTAGATTATCCTGATGTTGGTGTGACATGTATAGATGTTGTGATAGAAGATGAAATATCAAAAGAAATACTCTCTCCTAGTTTTTTTAAATGTCATTTTGGTTTTGTCAACAATTTATTAAATAAATGTCGTTTTGAATATTTTATGCATATTTTTCCATTATTACCTTCATCTATCTAATAAATACACTACGTCTTTTCATATTCACTCTTCATCTTTTCTCAAAACATCCATCTCTATCTTCATTAACTAGTAATTGCCCGTGCGATGCACGAGATGGTATATTTCTAAACATTTTTTAATATTAAATATTAAATTTAATGAACTTGTTATATTTGTAACAAAAGTAAAACGTTGGGCGCAAACTACAAAATTCATAAATTATTGAAAATTGTTTTGTACACAACGTTTTTCGTTTGATTTGGCGGCGAGTCACCGTCACTACAAACTAAAATTTTCAATTAATTTTGAATTTGGAGATTGCATCGCATGGGTACCGTATGTACTTGTTATATTCGTGGAAGATTGCATCGCATGGGTACCGTATGTATCTATTAATTGTATATATTAATTTATATCTTTTAATATGGTATTCTACCAAATTTTAGTTAATTTATAGTACAAGTAAAAAAAATTTTAAAATCTATATATGAAAGATTCCATACTTAAATGTATTAATATTGTAGGTAAATATTAATTGCAATATCTCCTCATATATTCGGAAATAATAAAACTGGTTGATTACGCAGTTAAAAATTATGGAAT